TGCAATTAATAAAAAGAAAAAAAGTTTAATTGTGTTAATTTTTATATTCAGTTTTATATTTAAAAATTGTAGAAATGATATAATTACGTTCTGCGTATAAAATAAAATAAAACAAAATAAAACAATAAGAAAGAATTAATTTTTGCACGCTTTATAATATGATGTAAAGCATCATGCTGTTGAAATATCATGTTTTATAATAAAAATAACATTATATAAAATTAACTCTTACCCTACTAAGAGGGGTCACTAGTTACCGAGCAATTTCTGTTCGTACAAGTTCCTTTGCGTCTTTCGGTAATTATAAATTATACTACATTTTATTATTTTCTAAAATAAAGTGCCAATATTTATTCTAGAAAGTTGAAAGTATGTTGGTGCATTTTTAAAGATTTTTTTTAATCATTCTGAAAAAAAAAAGATTCTAGTGCCCTTGTTAGTATAGATGAGGCACAAATTGTACTTAGTAGAGTAAGGGTTAATAATTTAATTTGAAAAAAATCATAACTTTAACTTCAAAAATTTCTTCAATATCAATATTTAATACATTATTTTACATCGACAATTTGTTCAAGCAGATTATTTATTACACTTAGTTTTTTGTTATATTTATATTTTGTTACATTTCCGTAATTTATAATCTACAAATTCTAAAATCAGTAAAGTCCAAGGATTGGCAGAAAATACTGTTCTTCTTTATCTCATTGTAATTCGTATTGCTTTAAAATTGAACTTCCTCCAACGGAAACGGCGTACATTTTAGAATTAAAACGAGAATAAAATTAAAACAGCTGGTTCGAAAAGATATCGCCGTGAATTTCAACTACGACCCGCTGCAATTCCCTTTGCATTTTATTCCGCCTGCGGCTACGTTGTGCGGCTCAAATGAGGCGCACTGTTGCGGCGAAAAAAGGAATTCTCTCACAATATTTCCTTCTCGTCGAGACACCATAGACCCTTTGCCGCGATCTCGCCGCGGATGAAAGGCCACGGTACGTCCTGGGGTAAACTCGGGAAGAAGTGGTTTTGAGCAATAAGGATGGAACAAAACTTTATGCCCGTAGGAGATACAACAAGTGTTAGGAATATGGCTGGAATGGCGTTGATGACGATGCGAGAACGCTTATTTTATCTTTCTCTGATCTTTTTTTAGGGTTTACATGATCAAAAGTTAGAAAAGAAATTACAATTGATTCAATCAAAATCAATTTGTAATACATTAATAAATGTCAAATAAGAAAGATCTTAGATTTATTTTTATTCTCGCATCGCGAATACTCAGTAAGATGGATACGATTATACGGATATTTCCTTCTTTTTCTTTCCTCTTTTACAATACAAATCGGAAAGTGTAATTCTAAAAGCATTGGATGTAGTTACCTTAGTTGGACATTCTCTGAATCACAAGATTTAGGTAAGATCATTAAATATTTCTATATTCAATATTTCTTTTCAAATATCACATAACAGTTTTCGATCCAGCTAAGACCAGAGGCAAACTATTCATACAAAAGATATTCAACATCAAAAGTAAAATATCAATAATTTCACAGAAAGCATTGCTAGTCTTGACAAGAATGCAAAAGGGATGCGCTATATTCATTGAATGTCTGTAAGAATAGTACAAAGAACGTTGCTTCTCCTAAGAATATATGAAACTAGACAGAAACATTATTCTTATTATAAATTTGTCAAAGGAAAAAGAGAGAGGAGAGAAAAGAGAGCAAAAGATAAATTTAACGTTGCAAATAATAAATATAAGATAGATAAATTACACAGGCCTACAAAAAAAAGTACTGTGCTGGGGTGGAGACCCAGCTATTTTTATGTATTTTTTGAGTCGCTAAATACGAATCTGACATAAAAATAGAACCATCCAAGGCAAATTTTTAATCTAGAGCGAAACAATGACCCATTTTTTCCCATTTTTTATGTCTATTTATATCGAGATTTTCTGAATGAATATCATATAGCCATGCGAGTAGATAAATTTTCGGCTTTTTTACAAGTTTATTTTTACGAGTTTAAAAATGTAAGTATGTTTCCTTTCGCGTTAACAAAAACGAGGATTTCCTCTACAGAAAAGTATTTAATTCATTTCATTTTACATTTCACTATACAAGATAACAGCTATTTAATTTTAGCAACTTTTGGCTGTTACTCTGTGACATTCTATATGAAAAATTCCAGGAGTATCTTTCCCACGAAAAGTCCAGAAATAATCGTAAGGCAAACAGTCGCATTTGTTGAAAATAAATAGATAAAAATTCCTCCGATGTTCGCGCATTTCTCAAATCTTACTACACGTCCTCCTGAGAGAAATCCTGCCAGCGACGATGATTGCTTAAGCATAAAGCAACGTCGTGCTGCTGGGTCCATTGGAGCAGGATGTAACTGGAGAAATGGCGTCTTAAGGAATTATGGCGCGTCGGGAGAGCGTTAAATATCGTACGGGGTTAGCGTTATCCGCATCAGTACATCCCGACTTCGGTATTTCTATTGGGTAATACTCAAAGATATCGCAGAGCGAAGCATACCTCGTGCACTTTATTCTCGGCGACAAAATCTACGGAATGGACCGGGACACTAAGCGCTTGCCGAGATAAACAAGAGGATCAGATATAAAAGCAATATAATGGCTGTAACCATTAAATTTATTAAACAAACATCTAACGCCGTGGCAGATTAGATAGAATTCTGAATTCGCTTATTATGCATACATTTATTATAATATAAACTGTCGTATAAAATCCAAAATATTTTAGATTAGTTTATATTATAATGAATAAGATATATTATAATATATATGTATATATATATATATATATATATATATATGTGTGTGTGTATTATAATATATATTATAAGATACTTTTATATTTTTCGGGAAAATATGAAAGTCCCATTTGAAGTTTGGAATTTTTTATCTTTGCTTCTCTCTCTCTCTCTCTCTCTCTCTCTCTCTCTCTCTCTCTCCTTTTTCTATAAAATAATATCCTGATAAAAACACAAAGGAGTATTCATTAGCAAATGTTGTCATACGGGACAAAAAATTCTGGTTGCATAAATAAAGAGTGAAAAAGATTATTTTAAGACATTTACAAGAAGCGGATGTTTCATGCGAGGTGAACACCCTTGCGAACCGGGTGAAGTGCGGGACGGAACAGATTTGTACCAGTTTGCGCTTCAGGAATGCAGAGAAGTGCAGGGCATAATACGAGGGCGAAAGAAATGGCGCAACGCAGAACAGGCGAGTTATCGAAGCTGACAAATTCTCATTAATTTGCGTGCTATATCGCGCGAACGAAGGGAGTCGACGTCTATTAAATAGCTGGATATCAGCTCGGCACGGTGTTTAATTCGTCCTGGATATCTGAAGCATTAACTCCCAGCATGTAATTGCAGGCATAAATCATTGAGGTGGGTAATAATGTACCTGCTTTTTATTACACCGTGTCGGTACATATAAAATGCGAGGATAGATAAATCCAGTTCCAGGATAGAATATTTTTACAAAGTAAATATATTTCAAATTGCTTTAACGATAATTATTCCCATAATTAGCATGACATCATGGCAGTATTTTTGTTAGCAAAAAATAAAAGAAAGAACATTTTGTCATCGCATCACAAAAATTTCACAGATTAAAGTACAGAGACAGAAGTGAGTAATGAGAAACATTGTCTCATTTAGTCGTATAAGCATTTTTTTATTGGAAATTTTTTATTGGAAGCATTCCATATAATCAATGGGATAATTTTACAATATTGAATTTTACTTTTACAATGAAAATGTTTAAATTTCAGATATTTAAATAATACAACTAATTTCAAATATTCGAACTACAAATATTCGAATTATAAAAATTCGTATCATATTGTTTCAATAGCATTATTAACCTTGCCACCCCATCGCATCATATAATTTTATTATAGTTCGATAATTCATTTAAAAATCAGGTTACGAAGATGGACAGTAACTCCAAATCATTCTCTTCATATTCTCGAGATAAACTGTTCAATCGGAAATTAGGTCACTGTTTACTTTGGCACTATCGCATGCACGTTTACTGCGTATGTACTTTGTATTATGGTCACGAGATTTGCTGCTAATACCGACTGGTGGAGCCAGATTTACGCGCTTAATGCATACCTGACATTCATCGTGTAAATCATATTCTCATAAAATGGGAGCGATCCCCCTCATAAAATACGGACACTTCTTGTTTCGCGTGATATATCGATTTATGTGAATTTACGTTTACATGGATAGTTCGTAGAAAATGCGACCGCGCCCGAATAAGGGTCTATATGGCACTATTGTAGCAATATTACGAGATACTATCCTAGCTCAAACTATGCACTCATGGCATTATATCGTATGCATTCCACCAAAGCGTGCAGATTACAACGCAACTTTTCAAATAGCCAAACAACAGAACTATTCACAAAAGCACGATTCATATTAATAAAAAATTTTTTTAACTTGCAAACTGCGATATGTGTGGCTGATGGCTCTTTAATTACACGAGCCTTAAAATTAAATTTTCTTAACAGGCCTTACGCAATATGCAAAAAAAAAATATTGGAAATAAATCATAGAGTTTAATTAAGATTTTATTTAAATTTCTTTTTTATTCAAATATTGTTAAAATATATTGTCTTCTTATCTATCATTATTAATCTCTCAAAATGTAGAATAAAAATGTATTTGACTCACATATATCAGTATTAAAAAATATTGAAGCAAAATTTGCAGATTTAAGCAATTACTATATAGAAAGGTTTTATTTAAAAAAGTACTATCTAAAAAAGTAGTAATTAAATACAGATCTGAAAATATTTGTTTGGATTATCAGAATAATTGTAAAAGATGCTTACTGGTTGCTAAAATGTCAAAACTTTTGGCATTGCTTATCATGTTTAAAGTTCCTAAATATAATTATTTTGATGATCCAACAAAATTATTTTCAAGTCTGTATACATTTAAATTTTTACTATATTTTCGTATAATCGTTTTCTTCGCGTATACATTTTTCTCACAATAACAATTCTTTAACTAGCATTCTTCTATAATATTCTCAGTCAAACTTTCATTTCAATCACTTGAATTTAAGGTGATAAAATGTCTCAATCGTTTTTCTTTTTGCAACTCATAAAATCATCGGTGAAAGAAGACAGACAGGTCAATGTAATTTATCGCCCCAATAGTCATCCAAATTTTAATCACTTTTTTCCCGGATCACTTACCGCTTATGACGATTCACTCTGACGGAGCATTCCGAGGAATTGAATAATCATACTCGAGAATCACACCGGCAGATGATACCTTTATAACTTTAGAATGAATTTTGCTCAATGCATTCCGAGAGCGAATACTGTGAGCGAAAAGATAGTATGAATTGTTATTTTGTGATCTCAAGAGCAGGATTTTAATATTGCAAATACGCAATAACAAACTTTGGACAGAGTATGAGAAAGATAATCTTTTTAATTTGTAACATTATAAATATCTCGATAAATAAAAATTCAACTAAAATCCTTTTGAATTGAATTCAGAAAATTTCGTAGCTTCTCGATCTCGACATCGTTCTAATTTTTTTTAAACAATCGCAATGTAACGAAACATTTCATAAAAAAGAAAATGTGTACGGTTGAAGGAAATATAATATATATTCAATATATTATAGGCAGTTACATTCTCTGTTAATCAAGATTAATTTACATTAGTATCGTAATGACATAGTGCTATAATACATTATATTTAAATAAGGCAGTAAAATCATAATTATACATGGAGTGCCGGATTTGCGCATAAAATTTGTTAATATCCACACCCGCATCGAAGAGTAAATTATTGTACGCATGAGTTTGGGGTGATAATATAAAGCGAAGTGCGAATAAAGCGCGAAATGATCTACCCCATATTCCGCGATGTAACTCAGCGACGTCGAATAATATCCGTATCGTAAATATTCAGCGAATGCTAAAATGTCTCTGCTCGATATGTTGTAAATACAAAATGATATAAAACTCGGCGAATACGTGAGAAAACACGGATACTTGTGAAACACATGGCAAAACAATTTTGTTTACAGATTAGTATAAATTCAAATCTCTATGTAAATATATGATATGTGGAAAACTGTAAAGCAGGGAAAACGCGAATTCGTGTAACATAAAGTCGATCGAAAATAAATATCAATTCTATGGAAAAGTTATGTCAGCGAGAGAAATTATAAATCAATAAACACACACACACACACACACACACACACACACACACACACACACACACACACACACACAATAAGCGCAAATAGAATACAATATATAAATGAATAAATATATGACACTAAATAAAACAGGCGATGCATTATATTGCACTTTTTACAACTGAACATGTGTCACATTTTAAAATTCTCTTCATATATAATTCATTTAGTACCCATTTGAATTTTGAAAAATTATTTATCAATGGAATTTATAAAAGAAAATTAATTTTTATTACACGAAAAAATTAAATTAAATTAAATTAAACATTTTGCGAAGACTACCAATATCCTTACATGCAATCTATTCTATCAAGTAATTAAAACATAATTCTAAAATTAATTCAATTTTTAAAACCATTTAATATCTAAAATCGGAATATTTCTGAAATTAAATTATTATTAAAATTAAATTTTATTAATATTTTCAAATTTAATGATTATTTTAATAGTGCGATTTTTATGCATTGCTAAGAATATTATTACACAATTATTATGTGTACCATTTTTGATATATTTGTTTGTCAAAATTAAATTTGTCTCATGCTTGATCGTGTAGCCCGTTCATTAATTTTACGGCAAGATTAAAAATTCCTAGCGCCCATCGAACACGGTATTTCAGGATACTCGAGAAAATCGTTGGGGATAAGCACTAGGCAGTCGGAAGTGTTTGGCAGAATATTTCACGAACAGCTATGGTACGTGATGGATTTTCGAACGCGATCTCGATTTCGCCACTCGATCATTCTCTGATCCAATAAACACTGGCGAACTACCTTTCGCGTATACGAAAATGAGAATGGGTCTCCCTTACCTGAATGGAATCTTTCCCAGCTTCCCGTAGAATATTCCGCGGATGTATGTAACCCGGGCCGTTGCTGTAGAGCAACGTTGTGTAGGGCTGTCCGTCAACGTCCGACACCTTGCTGTCGGAGCCTGAGGGAGAAAAAAAATTGATCAAGCGACTCGTCGGTGGAATTATTGATAAATCATTTTATGAATAAATGGCTAGAGGTAAACGAAACTCGTAACTTTACATTCATCAACATGGTCCGGCGAAATTTAATGCAATCGTAAGAACCATGCCTGAGGCAGTTTAAGTTTCCCTGCTTGTTAACCCTCCGTAGAGATTACGTCAAAATCTATAACATGGTTACTGATATTGAATTTGTAAAATCAATTTAATTTATGTTAATTAAAAGATAAGAGGTACTAATTAATTTCAACGAATCAAAATGACATAACTCGTATAAAAAAAAAAGAATACTACATTGGAAAAAGAGTCTAATTGCACATTAATTGGAATTCTTATTGAAACTAGACAAATCAGAAATTTCAGATTGAACCTATTATAATTTTAGTTTATAACTAGAATTTTGATTAATATGATTAGAATTTTGTGCTACGTTCAAAAATTGATCTTGCCAGTATATTTGAATAAGAATCCGAAGAACTCCTAATTATGTAAAAAAAAAAATAGTTTTAGTCAAATTGGAAATTGACATTTTGTAATTTATAAATGCTATTTAAAAATTTTAAACACAACTAACCACAAACATGGAATATATTTTACAGTAATAAACAATTTATTAAAACTGTTATATATGTAAATATACACAAGTAAAAGTTTAATGCCTATTACGGTCGAAGCTGAATCAATTAGATGCTTTTTGAATATATTTTATAGTAAATATGTTTGAAAGTTATTTTGAGTCTAACCGAAATAAAAATCTTTATCTACAATACAGTTTGTTTTTTAATTTGTATATATATATATATATATATATATAGTAACTAAATACATTTATAACATAATAACGTCAGATATATTATTACTAATGAAATAGTCATCGAGACAGATACATATATCGATATGTATACATCTACATCACTCCTCGCGGTTACATAAACCTACTCAATAATGAAAAATATATAGTTACATATGTAGATATTTAATTGAATAAATGCTTATACAATATTTAAAAAACTGTGCACTGTAGATACAAATTCCTTTCAATACACTGCATTGTTAAATTCTTTAAATTATATCCAATTTGAATTATTTTTAATTATTTCTACAGGTTGCTCCTACTCAATATGTTATTAATTTAATTAAAATAATAAAGTTAAACAATTTAACTCAAGAAAATATATTATATTTAGTACTAATTACAGAAATGGATTGGCTGACGTTTTGACATATAGAAATTAAAATTAATAAAATGCTATTTAACTTAAAGGATTGGATTATCATTACTCTTTTGATATCTAACAGTGTATTAGATTTAAAATAGTAACTTTCAGATGGAATTACAGCAAAATCTGTTCATCTTTTATGGCTATCCGAACTTTTGATCAGCATCTGAAATTACTTTTTTCATATGATTGGCGAGGTCCTTTGCAGTAACATAAAAAAAAATTAAATTGTTTAACATTTTTGACGAAAAATTTATAATTAAGTAAATCCAGTATGGACTCACTGTCAGCTCCGGAGGATTAAGAAAATTACATAATCTTACGTACGTTAAATACCAACGTCTGCGGAATGACTTTTGGAAATTGCCACACTTTCGAACATTCCTCGACCACGACGGTAAACTTCATTCGCCAAGTTTCTCGGGTGCAACACATTTACTTTATTACCATTAACGGATTACTATTATGTGGCGTCACCCGAATGACCTCGCCAAGAACGGACGGATGTTTAACGGTAGAACGGATAAAAAAAAAAAGAAGACGGAGAAGAAGATGTAGGAGGCTATGAGGCAAAGGGATGAGTAAAGACTCCGGGACATGCCGGTGGTAGATATGTTTTATTCAAGAAGCTTTCTTCTTCTTCCGCGCGCAGCCACCTTCAAAAATAGACCACCACCGTGCGCCGTTTCAGCCTGTCCGTCGTTTAACAATGTATAATTTAACCGTTTATTTGCCCGCGCAAACGCGTGGCGTTCACTCTAATCGAGGCGGTCGGTGCCGCTTCTCTTTAAACTTCTCCTCGCATTTTACACCCGATAGACTGAAACACTTTCTTGTTTCGTCGAGTAATTGCATGCTTGTTGCCGCTACACGTCATGACTTTTGACTGATGTGCATAGATCTATCGTTTCGCGTGCCACGGCACTTTACATCGGTCGACTAGAAGTAACGAGGAAATCACGGAGAGAAGGAAATCATTCATAGTGATTCGTCAATCTATTTGTTAATTTTATGCAAGTCCTCGATGGAACAAGATAATTGTATTTACCATTATATGCTGTTCCACAAACAAATACGAGGTTGTTACAAAATGGAGAACAACTTGGATGAAATTTGCTCTTCAAGCATTGAGAGACGGATATCTTTTACTGTGGAAGCGATAGACGTTTTAAATGTTAATTGTTATCGGCAATGGCCGAGTCAACCATTTTTACAAGATTGTTAAATCCTTAATTGGACGTCAATTGAGTTAAATAGCCTGCTGATAAGGCCGTTGAACTACATAAAAAAAAAAGAACAGACGGCCATCGTTACAGTAAACATCTCGCATCTCGCTAAGCACTTCACGGGGGGTAGGTTGTAACACTTTAATTGCCCATCTGTAACGTCTGACCTGACGTGTAATACCGGCATTGGGATAGCGAAATGCGCCGCTACTTCAGGCTACCCGACAGCGTCCGGAATGAAATGAGCCTTTGCGTTCCTTTCAGGCACAGTTGGAACTCACGAATTGCACGTTTAGTGGGGAGTAAAAGGAGATCACGAAGTCAGCAAAGTAATATCCTGCAATCTGCCTCTAGAGACATGTAGGGTAAAGTCTGAGATAAATGGATATACGTGTGAGGGCGAAATTATTGGAAAAACTAATAATCTATTGTCGATATAAATGAGTTTTATGAAGTTGTGGCTTAAGGACGACGTATAGTGGCGGTTATGTTAATAATAATGTATATTTCGCTCCCTAGGAAATTACTGCATGGTTCTCCGCAGAATTAAATTGTATTTATGCTATTATTCAATAAAACTGTTTAATACACTATTAAAAAAAAGAATTCGTAATATCAAATCATATCCAATTTGAGTTATTTTTATTTATTTTAGATCACTACTATTTCTATTCAATATGTTGTTAATTTAATTAACACAATGGAATTAAACAATATAATTCAAAAAAATTAAATTTGCTTCAATTTTAATTTATTATTTACAAAGTAAATGTGCGTTAACATGGACATTGTTTATTTCAAAGCTAATCTCAGAAATAAATTGATTTACATTTAGATGACGTATGGAAATTAAAAATAACAAAATGTTATTTAATTAAAGAGATTGAGTTTATTATTGTTTCTTTGATATTTAACAAAGTAAAATAACTTGTAGCGGAGATCACTGCGAGATAGCTTTCTTACATTTGTATTTATAAAAGAGGTGCACGTTTCAAGTAAATTTTATTTTATAACTTAAAATAAAATAATAAAGGATTACAAGCCAAGGTAAATGTGTGTGTTACAGTTTATATAACAATTATAATAATAAACTGTAATTTATTTATATACAGGTTTTTAAAAGATACTTATTTAAAAAGATTAGCATTAATAATATTAAATTGCTTGTCGAGCAATGTGGAGTAATGATGATATCATTATTCCAGTGCCAATTTAGGACTATGTTTCAAAACCAACAAATAATTGACGCACAATTTGCTTGAACTAGAAATTGTATAAATTGACAACAAATATTAGACAAAAAATCGCTTTGACCGAATATGATATTTTTCACTTATGGTGAAACTTTAGCGTTGAAGATCTAGCTTGACTCGTAATCTTTCATTATTTCGTTTCGAATTTTATTCTAATTAAGTATCTTTATTTCATTGTTTTAAACAAGGTATACTAATAAGGACTATCACTTTCACAACTCTTAAAATACGGATAGAATTACAAGTTAGATTGAAGAGAAGAAAGTTATAATCCACAAAATGCGATATATAGCACGGTCTCTATGGGCCAACCAACACTATGCTAAGAATGAGGAACGGGTAAGTTACTTGAGTAATTTGAAGCAGTACAGCCGCCAATTCCCGGCTCTCCAAGTTAATCAAGCTTGAAAGAAAGCTTAGCATCTATTACATTGTTTCACTCACAGTTAGTAAATAGTAGAGATACAATATGGCGGTTTATTCTCCCTCGGTATACATACAGATCTTTACTTCGGTCGTTTACATAGCACTCCGTACTTTAGAACGTCGTGAATAATATCCGATATGTGCTTTGCCGTCTCGTGTTATATAAAGTTACGTAATGTAAAATTAAGGATGTCGGCTACGAAAAGCGACTCGCATTTGTGAACTATAATACCGTGCGCAAGCAATTAAGGACGATCCTTTAGCTATCCAAGAAACGTCCTGCGTTATATCCATCAAGTTTCCTACCAATTATATTGAAACATGATCATGGATCGTCCACAGTAATACCTTATACAATATTGTTGAGCCGATTATAAGCTGATATCGTGCCATTAGATATTGCCATTAAATATTAATTAATGCCATAAAGTATCATTAGAGGCCACTTCGAAAAGCAAATTCGTTTGACAGGTTTACGTGAATTTGATTTCATACCACTAATAACAATTACGATATGATATTTGATGGTGTGAGAAAAAGTGACATTTGTTTCTAATAACACTTGACACATTTTAACTATAAATAAATAAAATTGTATTATAAATGTAAATATTAAATATAAAAATTTATTATAAATGTAAATATTTATATTAATGTTTATAATATATCAAATTAACAACTTTTTTAATATTTTGCATGTTTGCAATTATTTTTATTTTACGTATAATAATAATAAAAAATAATAATAAAAGTTATTGTATAATAATAATAAAAGTAATTTTATAATTGCTTGCAGCATGAT